TAGGAAGTTATTAAGGGTGTTTTCATCAAAACATTGACACACCTAGCTGATTGGAAATTAATGAAAAGATGATTTAATACAGAGAAAATAGAAAACCGGCAAATCCTCACACTAGTGAAAATGGAACTAGATCGAGGTCTGATGAATGATACAATTTCTGTATAGATCACCCCATTTGTTAATTGATTAAGTGTTTCAGCTATAGTAGGGAATATATGAATGTAAAGGGTATATATATTTATAAATCTGGTTGAGGCACATAAAGGGCGATCAAAAGCCAAGAGAGTAGAATCATAAACATAAAGTTACAAATAAAGATGACACTTTTGAGACCTTTGAAGTCATCCTTGATTAATTACCCAGCTGTGTTTCTCCTGTGAACTGATCCCCCTGCAGTTGCCCTGCGGCCTGGATTTTGGACGACACTGTCTCCTAAAAAAGGGAAAGGCTCGATCAAGGAGTGAAATGATAATCCGAGGTACGCATGGAACAAGACATGCAGACGTACTTCCAAGGAACCCTGCCCTCCGGATCTGAGGTATCCAGTTTCATCTCTCGCTGCTGCTGAATGGCACGTTACCTATCAGCAAAAACATGAACGTCAACTTTAGATGACAGCAGGCTAATATTAAAACCAAGGAACTGGCAAAGAGCTCTGTGGAAGCCCTGGGTTCGGACACCTCGGTGTGAGGAGGCTCGGTCCACTCGCTTGTACAGCGGGTAATGGGCACAGCTTGAACACAGCTTAGGCTCTATTAGGCTAAAACTTTCACACCATTAATTAGATGCAGCTGCACACACTCCTCACAACTCAGCCATATGCACCGGCTGATGAGTGAAGACTTAAATGCATGCTGTAATCCATATAAAGTTCACAGTGTGATTTGAAGATGTACTGTATGTAGGGTCAAATCAAATCAAAACATGTTGAATCAAGTTAGTTTAATCCGCCGGCACTGAGCTAGATGCCATGATGTGTATCCCTTTTTTCAAGTGATTTATATATATTTTTTTCTCATTACATGTGTTGGGGAAATATTTTCCAAGGCCCATAACTTTGACCCAGTTTATCGGTTTGTGCTGCCCTCACTGAGCTCGGGCACCTGTAGCCTTGGCGGCTGTGCTCTCAGTGCTCTGTCTCCCTGTTCCTGCCTGTCGGCGTCGGCTGATAGAGGTGTTATTGTGCTTTGCCTGTTTTATCTTGTTATGCAGCATGTTGACGATTCTCTCAGAACCAGCTAAACACATGGGTCTGGGGTAGAGATCTTCAGAATTGGTTTGGCATCTGTTGTGTCAACTCGTGGCGCATGACATGTCTTGTGAGTTCTCCGACCGAAGCTCCAAATAAACCGTCAGTGTTTGCCATTAACGTTCCAGCTCTCCTCGTGTCACTCTGAGTCCTGTTTCCAATTGCTTCAGAAGTTTCCCTCACAACATTGGTAGTTGTTTTTAAAACCTAGGATGTAAAATGGCACTTAAATGCAATGAAAGGGTTTTTGTTTTGATAACTTTGTTTTAAAATGTTGATTTAACATAAAAAGGAAAATGATTAGTTAATTTTAAGAGGCCTGTATTTATTTTTTATTTTTCATACTACAATTGCTCTTCAATAAAGCTAAATTATTTTTGATCCAATTCATCATTTGAAATGTTTTTAGAGTATTAATAGCTAAAATAATAGACAGCTGCACCTCAAGATTTATGATACAATATATTAATTTTCACTGTATTATTAGCACATTTTAATACAGTGATAACAAAATATTCTCATAAATCAGCCTCAGTAACTCGCACCACACACACGCACGCACGCACGCACACACACACACACACACACACACACAGCACTGATAGACTCAGAGAGATTTGTATGACAGCTATAGACCGATCATATCCCCTCATGACATATAACGTCATATCGTGCAACCCTATTTTTAACCTACAGCTGTATAGAAGTCATTGACCTTACTTGCTTTAGGTAAGTTGTTGTTTTGAATAATAAGTAGTGATCCTTTATTAAAATATATTAATCGAACATTTGTTTAACTAGGAAGTCCCTTGAGGTGAAAATCTAGCAAACTAGTTACAGTTCAAAAAGAAAAAGAGCCAACTGACACGGAAAATAGTGAATAAAATAAAAATGAATCTGTTGCATCGCTGTGTATCATGAGCTTTTCACATGGCTTTATCATTTCATCAAGGGCACTAGATTATATATAGGTCTATGGAGAAAGGTAGGAGGAGACTTTCTGTCCCTAGGTCAGTGCAAACCCTTGGATACTGGTAAGGAAATTGTAGCTGTTGAATCAGAGGATCCCAGATATAGCTCCACCTTCATAAACTAATTCCTGTGTCATTCCTGAGACGCTGTCATCACCAGCCCTTCAGCCCTATTTCACTTTGAGCGGATTAGTTGAAACTGAAGCAAAGTGATCTAAAGGAGCTGTTGACTAGCACGTCTGACCTTCTAAAAACTCCCATTCAAATGTATAACAGACACAAACACACTTTAAATACACATGAGTTCATTCACAATCGTACTAATGATGGATGCACACTTACAGAAATACACACACACACTTTGTAAATACTTGGCCTTGGGTTTGGAAAGAGGAATGCCAAGAGGAGTCAGTGACGCAAGAGGCTGCTGTGATTACCTCACGTCTGTAAAGTGTTAGCAAGGAGCCTCATTCTGTCTATTTTTAGACAAAGACAAGAGTCAGAGGAACAAGTGTCATCAATCAACATGCTCATACACACAAACTCTAAAAAGATACATATTTATTGTTTTTTCAGAACATCTGCATTGTATGTGTTTTTCATTAAAAGTGAATGATGTTGATATAATTGTTAGTCAAATAGTAATAATTCATGTTTTTCCATCCTGCTATTTTTGAAATAAATATTGTTTAATCTTAAATCATATTAACAAAATATGAAATCACGATGCTATAAATGCCAGTAGAGATCACAGATTTTCTCAAACATCCAAACTAATTGATTCCTCTGCAGAATGATAAGAAAGCATGTTCTCTTTTTCTCAGTGTGAGAAAATCCACAGTATCCTGTTTCCATGGGACTCTCCTGCATTCATGGGTCGAGCCATTAATAATGAAGGGAGGTTCCCCGCTGTCAGCATTCACCCTGCAGGCTTTATGGCATGTGTCTCCCAGGCTACGTCTCATTGCAGTCACTGTAAAGTATGCACGTAAATGCATGTCTCTCTGCATATCTAAAGGTATGTGTTTCTATAGAAAGGCCCTACGGAAAGCCCCACCACAAACATGCATGGAGAATATGTTGTTATTTACATATATAATAATACATGTTTTTTATAATTGTATGTACCATGTATGTGTTGGCTATGTATATTTTAAATATATGTTATTGGGTTTAACATGAAAGGACAATAAATAATCCAAATAAATAATAAAAAAATATATTGTTCAAAATAATAATATTGAGCCTAAAAACTATTTTTGATCCCACAAATGAATATTGAAAAAAATACCAATGTAGCTGACAAGGGGAGGTTAATGTGATCTTTCTAGATCGAGGAAACTACTGTGAGTATTTTTTGGACTGACCGATTTAGAGTTGTGTCTCCATTCCTCAGCTTGTTTATTATTGTTTGTTTCCTTGGTTACATTCAACGGCTGACACCTTGGCGTGACCCATACAGTAATTTGCTGAACGCAATATGCTAACACATTAACAGCAGGCGGCTCCGTGTCCAGACACTGACATTTGACATCCAACCCCTTTGTTCACTAATGGCAAGGCAAAAAAAAAACCTGTGCTCCTTTAGGAGGGGGGGGGGCTGTAGTTGTTAACCTGACCATGAAAAAAATATATAACCTCTCTCTCGTAAACATATGTGGTGGCATGTGTTGTCCCCAACAAAGATTGCCCCCATCAAGACAATAATGCAAAGCGTTCCGGTTGGTTTTAGTAACACTGATTATCGCCTTTGAGCTATTATTGCTGCGTTCACAACTGCACTGACTGACATACCTGATGCAGCTTCATGAAGGCAATGAAAGTGGAAAAAAACAGGCTATAATTAGATCACAATGCTGCGGTACACATATCAATTCACTCTGTACACTCGGGCCAAGTCTCAACCAAACCCCAATAGATGTATTCATCTTTAACATGTAAGAAAGTGAAACCTGAACTATTGCTGGATACACAGGGTCTAATAGGGAACCAATAAGACTGAAGGTGGCCGATTTTAACACCCCCATATTTCAGTGACCCCATAGCCAGGTCACTTGTCTTCTGAGGGTCCCCCGTGTTCCAAGTTGTACAATTGAGCCTTTTAAGTGCTATAAAAGGTGGGTGTTATTTCGGCCGTGGCTTCCTGAAGATGCTATCCTCCCCGGTCTACTCAAGTGTCAGTATAGCCAGCACTTTCCACTGGCCGGGTCCAGCAGGGCTCCTGGCTCTACGAGGCCCTGCTCTTCAGAGCATTCGGGTTGTTTCATGTCATTTATTTCAAGTTATGTAGATGCAGAAAAGAAACCCTCAATACTGTTAACATGCTGGATCTATTTGTCAACACTCCTGGTTTCTAAAACGGTGGGCTGTGACCCAAAGTATACACCGGCCGGGTGCTGGAGGTTCCCTTGTGACAAGAATAGCCACATGATTTCATGAATGAGGGACCTGCAGGGTGAGAGACTCAGTTTCTCAGTAGTCTCTGGATCTGGTAAAGTTATGGACCTTTCTCTGAACAGGGACATAGAGTAGACTGAGGAATTTAATGTGGGATATTTTTAGAAAGATAAATGTAGATTTATAGCACTTCAATGATGACATTATGATGTATCTCAACTTGGAAACAGGAGATTTCAATCCATTTTAGTAATACTGCCTACTCTTAATACTTTGATTAATTAAGTATGATTTGTTTTGATCTTTTACTTCATTTCCTATGACTATTGATATCTAATAGGGGACTATTAGATATCAGTACAAAATGTTCCAACTTTAACCAAACTTTTTATTATCGTTTTTAAGATACATGTAAAAGTGCAACAAATAAACAACAATAAAGAAGACTACATTTGTAAGGCTATCCCGGTGCTTGTAAATCAGTGCAGTGCTACAGTGAGGTGAGTGTGAGAGGGACAGCAGCAGCAGCAGCAGCAGCAAGTGTCATCTGGTCTTCCAACTTGGGGAGGGCTTTGGAGTTTAAAATGGTGTGAATATGATAGCCATCGGGATAGCTTATGCAAGTGGAGATCTGTCTGCACCATTGAAAGTTGACAGTTCAGAGGCACTAATCTGACAAAGGGACGGTATAAATCAACAACTGGACGAACATTTTTCGATATCAATAAACAAAAACAGTTGGGGAGCAAAAAAACAAAAACAGGTGGGGAGAGTTTTTCTGAGTGTGAGCGGCTGCATGAGACGGAGACTTGTGAGGACGCACGGGTAACAGAGGAGAACCCAGAGGAGGTGAGTGACGGGCTTACCCTCGGAGGGGTAAAAAAGATGACCGTGGTGTCCCAGGAGAACCACGACGACACTGTGGTCGTAACTCCTTTGTTGCAAGATGCTGCTGACTTGGAAGCAGCCGACACGGAGTGCAGCGAGCGCGTGGTCATCAACATCTCGGGTCTGCGCTTCGAGACGCAGCTAAAGACCCTCTCGCGCTTCCCCAGCACGCTTTTGGGAGATCCGCGTAAACGGATGCGTTTCTTTGACCCTCTGAGGAATGAATACTTCTTTGACAGGAACAGGCCGAGCTTTGACGCCGTCCTCTATTATTACCAGTCAGGAGGGAGACTCCGGAGGCCCGTCAGTGTACCTGTGGATATTTTCCTGGAGGAGTTAAAGTTTTATGAATTTGAGGAGGAGACCATTGAACTTTTCAAAGACGATGAGGGTTTATCGAGGGAGGAGGATCGCCCTCTGCCAACCAACATATACCAACGCCAGTCATGGCTCCTTTTTGAGTATCCAGAAAGCTCAGGACCTGCACGGATAAACGCCATTGTGTCTGTTGTGGTTATTTTAATATCCATTATCATATTCTGCATGGAGACTTTACCCGAGTTTAGAGAGGTCCCACTGGTGCCAAAAACTCATCCCAATGGGAGTATCATCGCCTTTGAGCCCAGTCCGTTCACAGATCCGTTTTTCATGGTGGAGACACTTTGCATCGTGTGGTTCTCCTTTGAGTTCACCATGAGGTTTCTGTCGTGCCCCAGTAAAGCAGCTTTCTTTAAAAACATCATGAACATAATCGATGTTGTGGCAATAGCTCCATATTTTATCACCCTGGGCCTTGACCTGGCGGAGCATCAGGGCAGCAGTCAGCAGGCAGCGTCTCTGGCCATCCTCAGGGTCATCCGTCTGGTCCGAGTCTTCAGGATCTTTAAACTTTCCAGGCACTCCAAAGGTCTCCAGATCCTCGGCCAGACGCTTCACGCCAGCCTCAGGGAGCTGGGACTGCTCATCTTCTTCCTGATCATTGGAGTTGTTTTATTCTCCAGTTCGGTTTATTTCGCAGAAGCAGAAGACCCAGATTCTGGATTTACAAGTATACCCGATGCGTTTTGGTGGGCAGTGGTGACAATGACGACAGTTGGATATGGAGACATGTGCCCCTCCACCATTGGGGGCAAATTCGTTGGATCGTTGTGCGCCATTGCAGGAGTGCTAACCATAGCTTTACCTGTCCCTGTCATAGTGTCAAATTTCAATTATTTCTACCACAGAGAGAACGAGGATGAGGAAAATGTTGTGTATGTGCACGTCAAATGCGGACAGCAGCAGCAGCCCTCCTTAAGTGAAAGTGATTCAAACAAAAGCAACCAGCCGCTCTCCAAAACTGAGTCCTTCCAGGAGAGCGACGACTTGGAAACTTTGACGCATCAAAAAGTAATCCCAGTGGAGACATGCACAGTGAGACTGACAGAGGTATAAAACGTTGGAAGGAGTTTTTATTTCTGGTGAGTTGTCTTCCAGTGGACACATCATTAAAGCTCCTTCATGCTGGGGGCTGCAGTTGCTTTTACGCAATCTGTTTTAAAGTGTTTTTCTAAAAGTGGAGCGTCATATGTTTATGCTACAGGAGCCCCCACCAAAGTGAGAACTGGCTTGAATGTACCGTGATGTATTCAAATGTGGCAAAGGAGGGGAGCAACAGTCAATACATGGGGAACTGTACAGTAAAGCTATACCATAGCCCTGACATGCAAACATTTGGGAACCCCTGGGGCACACAGGGCATAGCTGAAATACCACTAGCCGTAATTGAGCCATGCTAACAAACTGAGCAGTCAATAGAGGATAATTGAAAACAATGTGTTCGTATCTTTAATTTCTCAGTTCAGTGAAAACATTTTTTGTAAAAAGTCCCTTAAATGGTGTTTACGCACGAACCAAACTTTGATACTATCACGTAGCCAATTCCCAAACGAGTTACGCAAGAGTTAGAAGGAAATGTGTTTGTATTTCGCTTTGATGACTCATAACTGCTGTCCCTTTTGGAACATTAGAGCTTTTTTACGTCTGTTTGGACTGTGAATTGTTGGCTTAATCCCTCAGGGTACTATTGTCAAAAGTGTACATGTTTTACATAATAACGAGATCAGTTATCCATAGTTAAAATATACATATCTCTTTTAATGACAGCATCGCTTTCTATACTTTTCTTCTAAAAAAACAAACCTCACTTTAGGAGCCATCCCAGACTTTGTTTATTCGGAGTTTGCAACATACCTTTATTAAATCTGGTCAGGAAAGTGAGCTGTGAGCGCCCCCCTGTGGATGAAACTCATCCCTGCTCAGAATGCTGTGTAAAATGAAAACTTCAGCTTGTGTATCTCTGCACTGTTGCACATGACATTGACTGATTTAGGCATAAGCCCCTGAGATCACGCTCTTTGACTGTATGGATGCTTGTGATGGTTAACTAAGCTCAGCAGAAGCCTGACTGCTCTCTATTACTGTTTACTTAATGAGTTTACTTAGTGAGTTTTATTTTCTGCTTACTTGCAGGAGGCAGACGAGTTTGTGAAGCGTGTATCAGAGTCGCAACAAAACACAAATGTGGGATTCTTTTCTTCTCAAAAGTAGTGGATAATTTTCTCACCGATATTCTTTCATTGCCAGTGTTGTATATACAGAGATGGAGGAAACGCTTTGGAAAGATTCAGTCTGCGATAATGGACATTGTGTTTATCAACAGTTGAAAAAACAACATTCTTTTGTGTAGGCTTTATTGATGACCACGCTTTCTGTGTATAAAAAGCCTTGGGTATACTACGTTGTTTTGTAATTCTGAATCTTCCCTTTTCTTATGCAGTTTTAATGCAAACTTGGAGAACATAGCCCACATAGACATTACAATGCAATGTCTGCATGACATGAATGCATTGTGAATTTTAAATGTAATAAAATATTTATTTTTCTAATTCAAACATGTATGTGAACTTAACTTAATCCTTTTTTTATAAATAAATTATGAATCAGAACATTTATCGCTCGTCATTCTTCCCTCAGTATTCAAAGAAGGCAAACAGAGAGTCAGTCACTTGTGTCAAATAAATGCCCTTAAATTGGTTCAATATCTTTGTTATCACTTTTGCTGCTAAAGGTTTGAAAACAAGGGCGCAGAAGCAGATATTGTGTTGTCTTGCCACAAAACCAATTAACTTAATAAAATGTCAAAGTGATTAATGTTGGGGAGGGTTAATTGGCTGGAGGCACATTTAACAAATTAGACCTGATGACCTGCTCTTTTTGTTGAATGTCTCGTTTTTAAAAAGTCAGCAGACAGCTGTTTAGAGTCAGTTCAGCTCTGACTCTCACTGTGTTTAGGCCTCATGCCTATAAACTCAAAGTTAATGGAGACATATACTGTATGTGCTATGCTGCTGTACAGTAATGACTTTAGTACATTCTGGATTATTTTGGGATTTGTAGTTTTCTGTGAGGTTAATTCATCACTGCGCTGTCCGTGGTGCTGAAACTGATCCTGTGGCCTCTGCAGTGCCAACATTCCTGCATTTCTTTCAACACTGTATGACTTTCAGATCCATATGCAGCAATGAGTGAAGGTTGGTGGGATGTTATAACTTAGTATCACAAGGTATAAGATATTTGGTGTGAGTATATATAGTGCACATCCTGAATGCAAGTTTCATATGAAGGGTGCAAACACTGTGTGCATGACTTTATCTTTCTTATTGCTCACTAGAAAAACTGATGAAAGTTACACAATCTAATTTGGTCTCACATCAGGCATATTAAAATAACATATTTAGGGGGTAGATGGGTATTATAATCTAAGCAATTTCTGACTAGTTTTTCTAAATTATTAAACATCTCAAATGTCACCCAGTGTAGGTTTAGAGGTTTTGTTACCAACTGTCCCTCTTTGCAGTGAGATTGCGCCAGTGCTGGCACACAAGTGCTCTTGTTTTTGTGGTGTGTGGAGAACTTCTACCGGCGTGCTTTAGTAGAGCCGGTCTGCATTGCGTCGAAACCCTCCAACTCCTCCTCCTCCTGCTTCTCCTGCTGCTCTCCCTCCCCTCTCCTCTCCTCTCCCCTCTTCCCCCCTCACCTCCCCTGCACTTGCATGTAAAATGCACAGCAAAACTTGCTTGACATTGTGGAGAAAACATTTGGACCTCGCTGCTGCACTCTCCACTATCCGTGTCTTTTATCCTGCCCTCCGATTCGCGCTGAAAACGCATTGTGCCTGTCATCTCGTCCACTCGCAAAAAGCGGCAGATTTCTGCTGATGCAGAGACGTCTGGAAATTTCAAGGGCTCGCTTATTGCCCCTTAAAGTGTCTCCCCCTCTGAATTGCAGCGCAAGATTTTCTCCTGCGGTATGCTGTGAGCTGTTCGCACCACCGTGCCGCGGAGCGAGCAACTCCCGACGCTGCGGCTCTCTTGTTCCTTTTCCATCCCAGGCTTTCCTCATTACACTCACCTGATTTCACATCTTGTTTTTTCTACTTGGCTTCACCTTCCTAAGACATTTGGGGGCACTTTGAGGATGGCGAAGAGCACAGAGAGGCTGTAGGCTTCTTTCTTTTTGAGGAAGGTGCAATGTAAAGTTGCCACATGACACCCTCTGCTGCCCTGCCGTTGGAGGATTTTACTCGAGGATAAGACGCATTCAGGACCTTTCAAGAACAGCCAACGGTAAGCCCCGAAACTGCTGACTTATGCAATAATCATATCGGTTAGATTGTTTTCTCCTCCACAGCTGATGTTGTTTTAATGGTTAGCTTAGACAACTACTGCATTGTTTTACTATCTCGTAAATGGGTTTTACATATTTGTTGCCCCGCGGAAAGCCTTTAGGCTGTTTGCATGTAGAAACATCAGTTGGTGTAGTATCTGTATCAGATGCTATGCGTCACAACATAATTCAGGATGGTTTAGAGTGCCGTAGGATAAATTATGGTCATGCTCCTTTAAGACATAAACCACATCATTTATATGTAAAACTAAAGTGAACACCCTTACAGAAACAGCATATGACTGTATCAGAGAAACAGGGTAAAACTACCCATAAAATCATCTATAGGAATATTAAAAATCATCATATTATCACCGCTGCAGTAAGATGATACATATTTATATTATAGAATTGCACCTCTTTATTGTGTTTTCAACCTTTACTACCAGATAACTGCACTTATTGCAGGTTGAGAGAACTAAATAAATAAATAAAGCAACTGCAAAAAATGCTGAGCCAGCAAATATCTTGGCTGTTTGATCCCATTATTTCTTCCTCCTTCTCTCTCTCTCTCTCTCTCTTTCCCTCTCCCTCCCTCTTTCCCTCCCTCCCTCCCTCTCTCTCTGTGTGACAGAGGCAGCAGTAACAACAGCAGCAGATGCACAGGAGAGCAGCAATGGTCAAGTCAGCGAGAACCGCAGTGGAGCCGCACTGAGGCAAAGCAGCCAGCTAGCCCCCTCGTGTCCGGGGACGTCTTCAACAATTTAAGGGGTGTGGGAAGCTGAGGAGTGGAAAATTTGCCCCGAACCTGAATGCCTGCTCAGTCAGACTAACCGGGATCCCCACACAACTCCTCCTCCTCCTCCTTCCTCCTCCTCCTCCTCCTCCTCCTCCTTCCAAAATGACCGTGGTAGCAGGAGATAACATGGACGACACCTCGGCTGTCCCGGGACACCCTCAGGACACCTATCCCCCGGACCACAATGACCACGAATGCTGCGAGAGGGTGGTCATCAACATAGCCGGGCTCCGGTTCGAGACACAGTTGAAAACCCTCTCCCAGTTTCCAGAGACGTTGCTCGGCAACCCCAAAAAGAGGATGCGGTACTTTGACCCTCTGAGAAACGAGTACTTCTTCGACAGAAACCGCCCCAGCTTCGATGCCATCCTCTATTACTATCAGTCAGGGGGCCGGCTGAGGAGACCAGTGAACGTCCCTTTGGAAATGTTCTCAGAAGAAATCAAATTTTACGAGCTGGGGGTGGATGCCATGGAGAAGTTTCGTGAGGACGAGGGTTTCATCAGGGAGGAGGAGCGTCCTTTACCCGAAAATGAGTTCCAGCGTCAGATTTGGCTCCTCTTCGAGCACCCGGAGAGCTCAGGCCCTGCGAGAGTGATCGCCATTGTGTCTGTGATGGTAATCCTGATTTCAATTGTCATATTTTGTTTAGAGACTTTACCGCAGCTGAAAGAGGACCCCAGGGGTCGAATGATCCCATTTGGGAACACTACTATTTATTATAAGCCAAATCTCCTCACTGACCCCTTCTTCGTCATTGAGACACTCTGTATAATCTGGTTCTCCTTTGAGCTGATTGTACGCTTTCTGGCGTGCCCGAGCAAACCGGCCTTCTTCAAGAACATGATGAACATGATCGACATAGTGGCTATCATCCCTTACTTCATCACACTCGGCACAGAGCTGGCCGAAGACCCAGAGAAAGAGGGAGTGGGGGAGCAGGCAACATCTCTGGCCATACTCAGGGTGATCCGTCTGGTCAGAGTGTTCAGGATCTTCAAGCTGTCTCGACACTCCAAAGGACTGCAGATTTTGGGGCAGACGCTCAAGGCCAGCATGCGAGAGCTGGGATTGCTGATCTTCTTTCTGTTCATTGGAGTCATCTTATTCTCCAGTGCTGTCTACTTCGCCGAGGCAGAGGAGGACGGATCCCACTTTGGCAGCATCCCGGACGCCTTTTGGTGGGCTGTTGTGTCTATGACAACTGTGGGCTATGGGGACATGGTGCCGGTCACTATAGGAGGCAAGATTGTAGGATCTCTGTGTGCCATCGCCGGAGTGTTGACAATTGCGCTCCCAGTGCCTGTCATTGTGTCCAACTTCAACTACTTCTACCACAGGGAGACCGAGGGAGAAGAGCAGGCCCAGCTGCTCAACGTCAGCAATACCAACCTCCCCTCTGAAACCAACTCCAGCCGCCGTAGTTCATCCACCGTCAGCAAGTCAGAGTACATGGAGATCGATGGAGACATAAACAATAGCATCGACAACTTTAGGGAGGCAAACCTCAGAACTGGCAATTGCACTATAGCCAACCAAAACTGTGTAAATAAAAGCAAGCTGCTTACAGATGTTTAGAAACTAGCTAGGAACTTAGAGGATCTCTATGGGACTGTCATATGTGGAGTAGACCATCAGTTAGGAATGCTTCATTTACCTCCTCAAAGCGCTCTGTGGCATTAGGCCTACAACTATGCTAAGCTATATAGAAAGGAAAGAAAAATCAAAGCTCTTAGAGTGAATGACAGCTAGATAGAATAATTAATTCTTTTGATCCTACAAATATATAGGTACATCAAAAAGAAAACATCGAATATTACGCATATACACGGCTCCCTGGAGGACGCAGAGCGCACACGGTCTCATCCAATGACGGCGTGATTCTAAAATCTTATGCATGGAGTACAGAAAACATTTCAGCAAGTTGCACAATGCACCAGAAAAGTCTGCAGAGACATGCAAGCACCTGCAGCCAAGTGGTAAGCACCAAGAAGTTAGGTGACCCCCGTCCCTCCTCCTTCCTCTCTCCCTACAAAGGATATCTACTATTCAGCAAAGCACCTTATAGGAGGAAGACTGATCTCTCTTGTTTGGATGTAAACAGATGGTGATCTGCTCGCTTCACGGACATCCGCAATGCTGCTGTTTTCCAGCAGATGCTGTAATTGTGATATCACCAAGTGATTCAATGCCATGCCCTTTAGATGCAACACAGCACAATGTTAAAGTGAGCTTCACACGAGCATGATTAGAGACTTTCCATTTTGATATCGGCATGCACGAGACATATCTCACATAATGGAAAGGATGTTCTTTTGGATACCTGCCTCCATCCCCCTCTTCTCATCTGTTTTCATACCGAGTGCACTGGATGAGCTATTAATTTGAAATGCTAATCATTTAGAAGTATAGAAATTGAATGTTAAATC